AGTCAGCCTTAGCAATAAATAACCTCCTACAATACAATGGAATGCGCTTCCGTGACAAGTATCTAGTGTTGTTAAAGTATTTCTTTCTTTTTTAAATCAAACCACAAAAGTTCGACTGCACATTTTAAATCAAGAATATAAGCTCTGCTTCTACAACCTTAGACTTATCCATAACATTGCATGATTTCATTTATTTTGTTTGTGGGTGATAACTAATAGTAATTACAGCTAGTTTTCATGTAGTCAAGTACTCACAGCACTTCCAAAGACACAACTAGGGGCAGAGTCATCCCTTAACTCACTACCTCCCTAAGGCAATTTGGTTACTACTATGTGGTCTCAGACAAGGGTCAGTAACGTGTAGCATGCACAAATTACAGAATTACGAGATTGTGCAGTGCATAAGTGGCAAATGACACTTATGTGAAATATATCATCCATAATGTAAAAAAAAAATTGTTCTAGGATCTGAACACTTGTGGAAAAGGGCTTCCTGCCTATATAGGAACTAACAAACAATTTTGTTGCATAATCAAGCACCAAAAGCAGCCATAAGCTGGCTCTGTTTACCATCTGAGCAGGCAGTAATTCTACCTGGCTCTGCCCAAGAGATGTCATAACTTCCAAAGCAGCAGGTGAAAGCCATTGGGAGTGATTAAGAAATCTGTGAGTGGGAGGGGAAAAAATTTGATTCTGAATGGAAAGAAAGGAAGAGCCTGGCATGTCAGGATCAGAATGCTTCTACCAACCCGGATTTTGAGGATATGGGGTACAGACTGGATTTGGGTCCTTGATCACGTATGGTAGGCCCACTCAGATACCTTGCTAGGAGAAGGAGTTCCACAGGGTGTCCTGAATTTCTTACATGGATAAACCAAGTTCTGGGTATCCTATATTCCTGATATCAACATTTTTATAAGGCTTTGTAACTGTTGCTTAATTTTGGCTTTGCAAATGTATACTTCACTTTGTTTTCATTTGTACCATGCCATTCCTACTGGTATAACAATATTCAAGACCAGGACACTGCAATGCTGTAATAGTGCCTGCCATTGCAATACATTTCTGCAGCATTTCTGCAAAGTAACAGGGTGCCCTCTAGTTCCTGCATGGGCTAGTTTGGGAGCTGGCGACGCAAGAACCTGTGTAGAAGAGAAGTCTTTCACTGACCGCCACCATTAGGCTACTCCTCTGGACAGTGTAGGAAAGTGGGAAGCAAATAGCATACCTGAACAGTGAAGGTCCTCCAGAAACTGTTAGGAACAGCAAATTTGAGGCAGGATTTATGCCTGTCTGTCATTTAACTCAAATCATAGCTGTACCCTGACAACATAAGACAACATGGCAATGCTTTAGAGATTCAGTGTATAGTTGCATTGTTTGCTTTCTCTTTATTTGGAGAATAGAAATTAGAGTAGAAAAAAAGACAAAATTTTCAGTAGAAATCTTGTTTCCAAGGCAGAGAGCAAGTGCCAGTGGAACAGAAAGGCCTTTTCTTGGACAGGATTATTTGCTCAGATTATCAGTATAGAACTATGAACAGAGAAGTAATATGTAAAACCAACTAAATGGGATGTGATGAGCCAGTCAGGTGCATAAAGAATTTGGTAATGCAGACATCAAAAATCTGCTTAGACAGAAGCACTAACAGCACTGAGAAACTTCTTAACGGACTTGGAACATAGCTAATACATTATTCCTGAGAGGCAATTATGGAGTTCAGCCCCAGGCTGGGACAATTGACTGTAGTTTTGATTTTCCAATGTAGCAAGCCTACTAGTGATAGAGCAGGAATAACTTGGACTAAGTCTAGAGATGCAGAAGTGGGGAGGAGCACAGCTTACTTACCAGAGGCAGGTGGGCCTGCCAAAGGGCATTAGGATTGACTGGAAGATAAGGCAGAAATAAGCAGCTGTGGGGCAGTTGAATGGCTACATCCCATGACAAGAACTGGCCATGTTCATGTTACAGAGAAGGTTCCTGTACTGAGGAATATCTCATCTTTTTGGAAGAGTGCATGATTTTCAGCAGGTAGTAGAAGGCCCCAAGATGTACATTATCTACAACCAGGGATTTTAGCACTATACTCCAAGAGAATGTGATCTGTGTAAAGAAGTTTTGCAGTGAATATTTGACACCTTTTGAGAGTGGTAAGCTTCGTAGATCTGCTAAGTGGGTTAAGTGTAAGGAGAACCCTTCGTTGGAGAGGATTCAAACACTGATCTCATGGCAACTGAACCGTCCTGTAATGTTTAGGGAAAGGCAGTGGAAGAAGCAGTCTGGGGCAAGACCTCGGAAGCCCTAAAGGAAGTATCTTTGAGTATGTACAATCTCCTTACACAAGGAGACAGGTTCAAAAGCAGCTCTCAGGGAAAGAAATGGACATCTCAGTGGGGATCCAGCAAGGAGGTAGGAGAAAAGAGGTCTGCGCAGGTCTGGATTTAAGACTCATTCACAGAGCACAAGAGATGACTATCAGCACCTTCGCAGCCAAACTCCAAAACTCCTACCTTTGACACCTTTTGGTGTTCTGAAGCTGAAACTTCTCCAGCAGATTCTGCAATCCTGCCAGTTTTTGTAGTGGTTTTGTGAAGTGGGCAGATGTGTCCATTATAAATCCATTGGCTTGTACATAGCGTCTCAGTACAGCTTAGCTACTACCAGCATGTCTCTTCCCATATTGATATTCTCACTTATTTTTTTCTTTGTAGTGGATGAGGTGTAAACACAGGCCCGGCAATTAAACTGTCAGTTACAAAGCCTGGAATTGAAGCACTTCTTTCCTACAGGAGGGTTTGTGCCTGTGTTCGCATTATAGCTAGATCCTTCACTGTTACTTTTTAAGTGGTTTCACAGTTGCCTCAAGGTTTATTTCATAGCCAAGCTGCTCTTTAGTTCCCTTTGAGTAACCTCTTCTACTGAAGAATTTCCTCTGTCCTACAACTAAAATGTCCTCCAGCCTAAATGTCCACATGACAGTCTCACTTAGTGTCCTTTTATGATAAGCTCAGAGTGATCAAGTGATATGTTTCTTTAAATGTGTACAGCTAAATGGGAACTATTTGTGCAAATGATATATATTCACAGCACCAGACACACCAGCAATACAGCAACAAGAGCAGGCTGCCGGTTGAGGCCAGAATCAACAAGCAGAACCAGGCTGGGAACCAAGGGCAAGGGCCTGAGCTTAAATGCAGCTCCCAAGCTAATGGCTGGTCTCTAGATGAGGCTTCTCACAGCTTTCCTCACAACTCAGCTGTTCCCCAGCAGCTGATCTGAGGTTGCACTACTGCACTATATCAGAGCCAGCCTTTAGCACAGGCAGCCAAGTGCCTTGGAAAGAGGAGGAGGAGGAGGTTGCAGCACCAGCTGGTGCACTCAGGACCCTGACTCATGCAACACTTCCAAGACTCTTGGACAAGGATTCCATTGACTATGTATTCTTACATATAAATGAGTACAGTAGGACCCAACTTCATCCTGACTTTTAGACACTACAACAATAAAATATTAAAAAAGGACCATGATGTGCATTTAAACTATACGTGCATCTTCAAAATTTAATAGTGAGTGACTCTAAGATGTACATATTCTCCTACAGTATTCATATAAGGTCAGATGTTAAGTGCACTAGCTACCACTGCAAAGGTCAGAGAACTGTATTTTCTCCCCTTCCCCTTCTTTGTGCTGTAGCTCTGGTGTCCATCTCCTTCCTTCACAGCTCCCATATTAAGAAAATGCAAAACAGGGAAGAAGGTGTGCTCTTGCTGCAGCAGCAGCCATCGAGCTTACAGCAAAAGAGAGTATTTTAAAAGGCTATGAGTATTTTTCAGTGTAAATAAACACAGAATAACTAGATATTCAGTTAAGCTGCCCATGAAACTTTAGAAAACTTGATATGAAAAAGACAGAAAAAAAAGTGAGAAAGTTACAAATCCTGAAATGCTATATAGCATGAAGAGCGCTCATTTTTGGTATATTTACCTGGTATTTTGGTATATCTATCTGAGCAAATGCGGAGAAACCTGAACTCAGTCTATCTGCATTGAGCTGTCTTGACATAAGCCATATACTGGCCAAAAGCCGTACACTTGCATAATAGGCAGGGCTGCCGAGAAGCTGAGCATATTAGTTTGCCACCATGCTGCACAAATGCGGCTATTTGATCTCTTGGCCAAAGCTGATTCATGTCCAGTCAGGCCTGAATGTGCCCAAGCAGACCTGCCCAAGCTTTCTGTCCCTGGATGAAATTTATCTCTGCTGAGAAAGCCACCACAAATCTCCATCTTTCTTAATTCATCCAGTTGTGATTAGATGATTTATTCCCCTTTCACTGGCCTTCTGCTTCTGAGTGAATTTTGCCTCTGCTGTTAGTTGGGAAAAGTTGTTTCCGTGCGTAACAGGTTTTCGTTAATCCTTTTTATCAGTGTCCGTTCAAAATCACAGGGCCCAGCATATCTCCAGTTAACACCTGGTGTTAGCTATTTTAAAATCATGAGATGTTTCTGTATGCAAGAGATGGCTGGCAAAAGAGGGAAAAGATACTGGAATTACGACACAAATAAAGGTCAGGCCAGAGATGAATAAGGACTGTGTCCTTCAGGCTAGATAGGGAAGGAGAGGACAGGGCACACAGGCGCAGTGAGATTGGGGGCAAATGGGAAAGTTAAGTGATAGGAAGACAGGGAGATGGGATGAATGATCCTAAAGTTCATAAAGCCTTCTGCATTTCTTGAGGTCCAGCAATACTCAGCCCAAAGCATGAGCTAGTTTTTTTAGAAGGCTCTGTCTTGTCATTACAAAAATAGACTAGTCTCCAACTGGTACTACATTAATCCGCTTCATTATCACTATTATGAGAAAACTCATCTCTGTAGGTACATGGAATATGGCTATAGATGTACAGAATATGGCTCCCCCAGAGAGCGATAGTGAATAGTGAAGATAGCTAATTTTCTAACCGCATTGGAGCTATTGATGTATTTATCCATTCCACTTACTTCTTTGCCCCACCCCTCAGCAAATTGGCCCCTGTCACATCTTGATATGCCAGATGTAGCCCAACACCAGCTCTTCGGTGGCACGCACTGCACACAATAGCAGGTGCAGAATGAGAGATGATATTGAACAGTTGCTTAGTTATCTCAGCTTGCTCAAAGCCTGAAAAAGATCAACGATTAAGCTAATTAATTAGAGATAATTAATTGGAAGTATCTGAACAAAGAAAAAATGTACAAACTGAAACAGACTCACCTTGGATATGGTCTTTTTTTTTTTTTCTAGCTAGTCTTGGTAAATTATATTGAGTTACACATTTGACACTAGGGGAGGGATTCAGTTTGATGTGAAGACATTCACATTTAGGTGCCTGCATGCAAATGTCTGAACTCTTTTAGCTAGTGGAGGCTAAGGAGCTCTTTAGGAGCTCAGTTAGACACCTGCCTGGGAGTCAGCTGCCCAAACACAGGTGCCTCCTATTATATGGGATGCTGACTAGATCTCCTTCATCAGTAAGGGGAGCTTAGACACTCATGTGCTCACGCACGTGAAGATGCCTAAGCTAAGGTATCTTAATCCTACTATTGGTACAGTTATGAAAGACAGGATACACACGCAGTTTTTGTATTATATCTCATTGTTAACTCTAATCTTTACCAATCTTCATATGATAACAATAATTAATTTCTGATCAGGTTTAATACAAAGCTGTTCCTCAGTACAATTTTTAAATTAATACACTAATTCTACTTATTAATTGGTTATTTAAACTGCACAGTTGCATTGCACCTCCCCCTTACATTTTTTGTGTTCTAAACAGCTCTTAGATAAATTGTGTTAAAAAAAGAAACAGAAAAATGAAATGCAGACACTACCTGGAATATCCTACTGTATCTATTCAAATGAATACATAGTGTGGTTTGTGCTTTAATGTGCATATGAATAATGCTCTGCAAGGTAGATGGTATCTATCAACTGTAAATAAGGTCATTTACTGGATTTTTATAAAATCCACTAACTTGTTGCTCGATAAAAATCAAAGAAACTGTTCTTTGCATGCAATATATTTGTATTTATGAATGCAAATATATAAATTAGCTCTCCAGATGCGTTTCCATTAAGGTTTTAGTTCATCTCAGGAACGCATTTTTTGAAGCCAAGTCTCGAGGTTGTTCCCAATTATCATGCTTTGGTTTGCACTGGGGAGCAATCTTGGAACACATGGATTGGCTTCCTTTCAAATGAACTTAGCTGGAAGATAGGCTCCAAGAATGCACTTAATGTTATCCAGCTTCTAATGCACCTTCAGTCCCTGGCATCACAGTAAAGCTCGTCTAAAGTAAAAACTAATCCTAAAACACGTTAAATATGTACATCAGATCCTCAGCATCACATGGATCCCTCTACAGATCCAGTTGTATTGAGCTGCAGTATTTGCTAATGTAGACACGATCGCAGAGAGCTAGAGCGCTAGATCCTTAAATCAACAGAAATCTCTGCATTTTAGTAGCAACCAGCAATACAAAAGAATTAACCAAAAACAGAGTATCTACAGTATTTGGAGTGTTCTGAAATGTATCAAAGTGCTGCTTTTTCAAAAAGATCATGTACATAAAATTTATTGTTACGTAGATTGCCTGGTAAATACAGATCACCTATGAATACTGCATCTTTTAATATAAGGGCATCTTTCTTGAATAATTTTCTGTTAAAATACATGGCTGGTTTGAAATTGCTCCTAGGCCTATTTTCAGTTAGGGAATTAAGCCTTGCCTGAGGATTCCTTCCCACTCTGTAAAAGCAGAGACACAGGCCCCAGACAATGAGTTGCTGCCCAAACCACAGGATCTTTTTCTGGGTTACCAGCAATGTAGAATACTGTGTAAAGGACCATATATCATCCTGCCTAACTGTAAAAGACAGGACAAAGCATTAAGGTGAGCAAGACATGTAATTATTTCTATTAGGGAATTTCATGTACTTCACCAACATATCTTATCCTAGCCTCTATCAAAGACAAGATACTAGACAAGGTGAATCACTGATCTGATCCAGTACAACAATTCTTAGCAATCAGAAGGAAACCTTTTTTGTGACAGCAGTGCTTACATTTTTAAAAACGCTCCCAAATGAACTCTTACGGTCTGAATGTTAAATCTTAGTGGAATCCATGTTACAATATCACAGCTGGATATAACTGACTTCCCAGCCTTGATCTTGTGCCGATGTCCTCTGATTTCTCTTCCCTTCCAAGTGTCCCTCTACATACTTTAATTTTGCTGTTTATTTCTCTGTGTGTGCACTGTGTATTTCCATCTATATAAGTCTATGTGATTTCAAATTACAACCTTTCTTTTTCTTCAGATATTAAGGTCAAATTCAGTGCTGATATCAACCTCATTCCTTTCAATGGATTAATTTGATCTTCAAATGGCCCATCTCTACATCGTTCAAAGACTTTTCTGACTCATTTTGCTTCAGACCTACTAACATCTTCAAAAGATCACTTTGCCATATATCTATTCCAGTTGGGTCTCCATCTCCTTTCTGGAAACTCTGCCTCTCTCTCTCACTTACATCCCTTTTTCAACTTTTCACACCTCTTTAACAAATATTTTTCTAGTCTGAGCTTCATCACTCTTCTGGCTATCCACAGACATCATTAGTCATGATGGCTTTTCCTCTTGATGTCTACTTGTATTGTATTTTTCAAAATCAGGAAATTAAGATAACATGCATGGGGAGGATTACAAACCAGTGTTTAGAGAACCATTTCATTGCTGTTTTTCAAAAGCTGTGGTAAAATAGAAAACAACAAAAGCAACAAGAATCTTCAGAAAAAATAAAGTTTATCCACATGTCACTGTACAGGAAATCAGCAACATACACAGTAGAGAATCAAGCAAACAGCAATATAGGTGGGTAAGTTGTATGAATCATGAAATATTAATGAACAAATAATACATAGCATCCTGATAGCTTTTGTGGTAGAACTATAAACTATGTCATTGCTGGAGAGGAGTAATAAAAGTCCTGGATTTTAATAAAGAATTTGAAACATTTTAAAATAATGTTACATTCATTGGTTTAGACATGCTCAGGCTACCTATAAGATAACACCGAGACATTTATGATATAATATTTCTACTAACCTTCCCTTTGACAGTGTCTTCACCATTTGGGAAGATGAAGGGTATGTGTGTTTGCTTTACAAACAAACAACATTACTTTCACCTGGGGAGGAGACAGCTATATTTTCTTCTAAAAACTGGCCCGAGAGCTCTCTATTATTTTCAGTTTCACTGTCGCAGATGCAGAACCCCCTGTTCAAGCATCCCTGAAGGTCCACCAGTGCTAGAAAGAATTGTTAATTACCTCCAGTCCTAAAGGAGGAACACAGCAGGGAAACCTGGTAGGAATCCGCATAGCCTGTCCCCTTGACTAAGGCTCTGGAGAGAGACTTGGAAATCGAAAAAGAGCATCAAACTGTGCCAGAATCTGCTACTTGTAATGTGAGGATCATTGTATGACTTGATCTCATAAAGTCCAGACAATAATCAATTGCTTAGTTCCAGGGAGGAGCTCACTGAGGAGAAACACAAATACCTGAGGTGCTGCATTAAGGGACCCCGTGATATTACCGAAAAACATTAAAGGAGATACATATTGGAAAAATGCAGAAGAGTGTATCTAATGAATCATACACTGCAGCATAGCTATTCTGTGGGAGGAAGAAAACAGAAAAATAGCAGTGCTGAACCAGGCCTAGGGAGTATATACAGGCAGAAGGATCAGAGCTGAGATTGTGATATTCACTAACACCAAAAAATAAATCCAAAGTTACAGCCAGTAACTTCTATTAATTATTATCTAATCTTCTATTAGATGCTCTGTGGCATGAACTCTGTAAAACAGAGTTAGGGGCAGGGAGGCACCAGCAATCTCAGCGATTCTCCCATGAGGTTATCAAGGTGATTTGCATGACGGAAAGGGTCAAGACATCCTTTCTGATAGCTTTTTCTTGAAAGCACATACCACGTACTCACGTCTGGCTACCTCCAAGCCAGGATGAATTGGAAGGAGTTCACACAAAAGTAAGACAAATGACAAAGAGCTGGAGGGAACAACTTCAAAGGAAAGATTAAATGAGCCAAAATATGCAGAGCATGGCTAAGCAACAACTGTAGGTCTGGAGAAAAAGAATACAAAAACTGTCAGCCATTAGTAGAAGTGAAAACAAAGAGCTCCTTTGTTGCTGACAGTAAACAGGGAGGGGGAAGAATTGCTCATCTTATTAAATATTATTTACTTGTATTTTTGTTTGGTGCATGGTAGCTTTACCACATCATCCCTGACTGCCAGCAGCATCAGGAAAGATGCAAGTCCTGAAAACCAGCCCTTTGCCTACCAGAGCACTTTGAATCCTGTTTCATAATTCCTCTGATTGCCTTCTCTCCAGTTAGCAAACTTCCTTACTGCTTTGGGCCAGGCTCACTGTTACACGGGGCCAGTGAGCTAGTTCTGTCTATTCTGAAATCAAGTACATTTCCATAGGGCATGTTCAAAATAATATATGAAGATTCCTAGTTTCTTTGTAGGATTTGTACGAATCTAAAGATTCCTACAGATTCCTCCTCCTTCTACGCCTTGCTATTGCAGGACCAAACAACCATCCTGACTTGGATCTCCTCAGGGAAATAAAAGTATAGTTTCTGAGCATGAGAATTCCTCCTTCACTTTTTTTTTTTTTTTTTTGAATTTTGCCTTCAGGTGACATGCAGAGAGAGCTGAAAACAGATATGCACATCCTACCTCTCAGGAATAATATGCCTTGCCCTGACATCGTTTCAGTGTTTTGGTAGGGTGCCTGTACACCTGTACTCTCTGATCGCACAGAATGTGTGCCTAGGAAGGTTCTTTTCTTATTATTCTCTCCTATCCTCAAATGCTAACTTTTCAACAGCAGCCTGTGTACTATTTTCTTTCTGTTAGATTCTTTTGTTGATTACTGGTGATGCTTTGCAAGCTTTTCCCAGTAAGCATTTTTTTCTAGTAATTCTTTTCAGGATGCCACTCCCACTCTATCTTTTCTTCCCTCTTACCCTTTACTCACTAGTCTAACATATATAATTCTTTCTGATTTATTCTTAGCATTAGGAGCT